TTTTTAGACCTCTCAGGATCTATCTTGCTGATTCTTTTTAAACTTTGTATTCCAGAGAAAACACTGAAGAAAAAGTCATTTGAGCTTTTCACATTTCATATCATTCAGCAAATCACAGCTGGGTTCGCACAACCACCCCCGGTTGCACGCACGCACTAACAAAATCTCAACGTTCTATATATATACTGTAAACTAATTAATCCAAAATAAACTACCAATGACGATGCTCTATTCAATTTACGTCAGTTGGCTCAAACGAAAGTGTAATTATTATAATCGAAGCAATTAGAAAATATGGTAAACAGAAAAGCTGCGTCACCAAGTCACAAGATACATTTTAAGGCTTAATTACACTAAACCAAACCTTAATCGACTACGCAATGAAAATTTACGTGAAAACCCGAACACACTCCCCTCCTTGACTCGTTAAGAGTCAAGCATCAAACGGGTTTTCCACTGCGAATCCTGACCTGCTGCGCGTTTAGATTTCCTACGCTGGGGTTCTACGACGCGATTAGGACAAATTACAATAGGTGAAAATTCACAAGCATTCTGTTCCCGTACTTCGTTCTCTTTCCTCTCGATGTCCGTACTTTTTCCTGCGATTTCGTTCATTCTTGCAAGTTCAAAAGGAAAAAGTTTTTGCAAAGGTCGAGATAAAATTTCTGACTTACCACTACCACATACTTTTACCTTTGCACCCCGAACAACACCGTCTTTCCCTTGCACAAGTTCCACGATTTTCCCCATTTTCCATGAATTTCTTTTGACGTGTTCCTCTTGCACCAATACTATATCCCCGACGGACACAATTATTTCTCCATTCCTGTTATTTCTATGAAATTCCCTGAGTTCTGTTAAATATTCCCTTCTCCAGCGTCCTGCAAAGTGACTTAATTTTTTAATTAAATAGCAAAATCGCTTAGAGTATGCTGATGAACTCTCCTCTAGTTCTAAATCGTTGATATCTAAATCATCAGCTAATTGCGACAATCTATGACCGTACATAAGATGAAACGGAGTAAGTGGGTAAACTTCAACTTCATCATAAATATACGTTAAGGGGCGCGAATTAAGTGTCGCCTCAACTTCTAACAGCACGGTATGCAACTCATCAAATGTTAGCTTGGCATTTCCAAGCACCTTTCTTAAACACCTCTTTACACTTCCGACCAATTTCTCAAAATAACCTCCCCACCAGGGACTTCTTTCCAAGTTGAAACGCCATGTTATTTTCTTTTCAACTAAATATGATGAAACTTCACGACTATTTCCCAGCTTATCTAGAAACTTATTGGTGAACTTGAAAGTTTTAGCGTTGTCTGAATTAATCAACGAAGGCGTACCACGACGAGATGTAAAACGCCTAAGACTCCTTATAAAGGTCGGTCCTGACATATCTTCAACGAGGTCAAGATGTATTGCCCTTGATGTAGCACAGGTGTAAAGTGCAATATAGCATTTTTCCATCTTACCTATTTTGCTTTTATAAAACAATGGTCCAGCAAAATCTATACCTATGTAGGTAAATGGTGGTACTTCCTTGACACGAAATTCAGGTAAAGGTGCGACTGATGGTACACCGTACGATTTACCTTGTACCTTTTTGCACTTTCTGCAATCCCTCAATATCTTTTTTACATACTGCCTTCCTTTTGTTGTCCAAAAACTAGACCTATATTCCGTGAGCGTTGCTTTCAGACCTTCATGCATTACCCTTTCGTGGCAATCCTCAATAACCAAACGCGTAAACCAATTATTATTCGGTAGAATAATCGGAAACTTAGTTTCTAGTGCTAAATCTGAGTTTTCCAAGCGGCCCTTGCACTTTAAAATGCCATCTTCTTCGAAAAGTCCCAATTTCAATGCAATCTCATTATACCCTGGTTGTTTCTTAAGGTCAATTTGTGAGCCCTTAATCCAAATCCTTTCTGCCCTTGAAACTTCCTCCGAGTCTAATTCCCCTAATTTCAATATCTTACCTTCCCTTGCAGACCTTAAGTTAGTGACGAAACGGATCCTCAATAATCTCTTCAAAGAGCTAAATTTATCCACCTCTATTATTTCAGTCACACTTAGTTTGTTTTGTTCTATTACTGCTGTAACATTTACAGTTTTCCTTTTTTCCTCCATAATCTCTGGTGAATCCTCAAGAGTGAAACTTTTAGGCCAATATTCCTTCCCCATGGACAACCAATGAGGACCTTCCCACCAAAGTCTGCTATCTCTTAAAATTGTTGCAGAGACTCTCCTAGAACCCAAATCTGCTGGATTACAAACTCCAATACAATGTCCCCAGTCTTCCTTTTTAGAAATTTTCAGAATCTCATTGACCCTATGTTGTACAAATTGCCTCCATTCACCTTGATTATTTATCCAGTATAATGCTGTCTTACTGTCTAACCAGTACCTACAACCGTCTATCTTAATTTGTGGGCTTAACGCATTATACACAGTCTCCATAAGTGTAGATAAAATACGACCTGACATAAGTTCTAACCTTGGAATGCTTAATTCCTTAAGCGGAGCAACCCTTGTCTTAGCACAAATCAATCCTGAATGCATTCCAGTATCAGTCTCGTATACTAAATAAATCATTGCACAGTAAGCCTTCTTACTGGCATCTGCAAACCCATGTAAATAACACTTATTTATCTTATCTGTACTTTTTTCATATAGACATCTTGGTAAGGAAATAACACCCACTGAACTTAAATCACATACAAATTTATTCCATTTATTGAGCATTTCTACTGGTACTTCATTCCTGAAGTACCATTCCATACTTCATTCATAATTCCTGAAACAAAACCTTTGCACTTACAATAATTGGACTCACAAGTCCTAAAGGGTCAAAAAGTTTGGAAATCATGCTTAAGATGGTTCTCTTAGTAACAGGTGAATTTGGAACACTGTTCTCTATTTTTGTCAACTCAAATTCCAAATTATCCTTCAACATATCCCATGCTATTCCCAAAACTTTACTCTTAGTGTCTGAAATTTCTTCCCCTAGCATTTCCTTTACATAGCTACATTCACCCCCTCCATCTGCAGGATGTTTCCCAGTTTCTTCCATAACCTTAAAATATTGAGCAAGTTGTGGATCATTACTCTTCCATTTCCTTAAGTTAAATCCTGCCTCTAACATTCTTTTCTTTGCCTTTTTATAGAGTTCTTTACCACTTTCTACATCATAACATCCTAACACTAGGTCATCTACATAGAAACTTCTAGACAATTTTGCTGAGAACTCTGGAACAGCTGTTTCATAAGTACTTAAATGATGTCTTACAACAGCATTCAACAAAAAAGGAGAACTATTTACTCCGAAAACAACACGATTAAAGCGGTAAACTTTAATGTTTGGTTCACTATCACAAGAACTATCAATCCATAAGAACCTCAAGCAATCTCTATCCTTTTTATCCACTTCAATATTCAAAAATGCCTTTTCGATATCAGATGTTATTGCAATCTTATTTTCTCTGAATCTTATCATGATATCAAACAAAAGTGGATTTAATGGTGGTCCAACATGTAAACACTCATTTAGAGAGGTACCTGACTTCCTATCTTTTGCAGAGGCATCATATACTATTCTTACATTTGTTGTTTCTGCATCATTTCGTACAACGGCATGGTGTGGCAGATAACTAAGCTTCTCACTTAGCTCAAGACTTGTAACCTCTTCAATGATTCTATCCTTTTCTTGTTGCTTTATAATCCCATCATAGGTTTCCATTATTGCAGGCTTCTCCTTGAGCTTTTTCAACTGCCCCTTCAATCTGTTGAGACTAAGAGTATAATTAGTAGAAAGGGGCTTGTGCCCCATTTTCCAAGGCAAACAAACTGAGTATCTATCTCCTTTAAACTCTATATTATCCAAAAATTCTGCATGCACCTTATCTTGCCTTTTAATTCCTAAAGTCTCAAGATCCCACAGTTTTTTAATGTCTTGTTCTAATTCCTGTTCCTTATTCTGGTGCATCAAATTAACTGTTATACCATTACCATTTACAACCAAATTTGAAGAGCAAGATTCTGCCAAATCAGTTAACTTACCCTTTATTGGCCCTGACACAACCCATCCAATCTTAGTATGAATGGCAACAGGCTCTCCTGGCTCCCCTCGTATTATACGACCATCTTGAAGCGTCCAAAGCCAATCGCTTCCAACTAAAATGTCTATAATAAGGGAATCTTCGTGCCTACAAACATCTGAAAACCACAAGTTAGTAAGATGCTTATAATCATACTTCAATATTTCAACATGCTCATTGCGTATTTCTGAAACTTCATTAACAACAAAGGCCTGTATTTTCACTTTCCCTCCACTTTCAACTCCTTTCAACTCTAACTCGACCACCTCTCTTATCTTCTCGTCCATATTTTGAGATCCGAATGTCTTTATACCTAAGCGCACTTGCTTAATGGGGTTCAAACCAAGTTTTTCTACCATACTTCGTGTTACAAAACTCCTCTGACTACCTGAGTCAAAAAGAACACGTGCCTTAACATCCCTTATGTTACCTGTAACTACGGCCTTGGCGGTTTGCAAGACTGCTCTCCCCCCAGAATCTATATTACTTACACAAGAAGTGGTAACAGTAGTATCAACAGTCTTGACACGAGCTTGGTTAGCACTAGGCTGACTACCAACAACATTACAAATTGCAACATGGTGTCGTTTGTTACACAACTTACATTTTTCCTTCGAATGACACTGATAAGCTCTGTGTCCCTTTTTTAAACACAAAAGACAACGTCCATATTTAAAAACAAGATCCTTCCTTTCTTCCTTGTTCCTGACGTTGTGACAATCGGCTTCTTCGTGATCTTCTTTACAAAATACACAGAACTTTCTTCTCACAAATCCACCATCTTGTTTCGTGAACAACGCACTCGCTGTTGTTGTTCGACCAGGAAACCTCGGTTTCATCTCACTTCGCCGTTCTGATGACGTCCTACCAGAAACGGTCCCATTTCCCAAAGCCATTGAAATCGAAACATGCTGTTCACGAATCTCCAATTCTTCTCGAAAAGCCACAAGCATTTCTTCCATATCCCATTCTTGGTGATTCTTACTTCCTCGAATCATGTTCAGGCGAACAGCCTCTGGAACCTTGTCCATTAAAACAGGTACAACTATGTTCGAGTATGATGTTTCGTCGACCCCTAGGGCTTTCAATCCACGATGGTGTGTCTCAATAGTATCATAAAGTTCTCGCATCTTCTTAACGTGTTTTTCATTGAAAACCGCATCTAAATTCAGAAGCTCGTTGATATGTGCCCTTTTTATCGTCGTTGGTCGCGCGAATCTCTGTTCAAGCAAATCGACAGCTATGTCATAATTTTTTTCAGTCAAAGCAAGTCCAGCAATTACTTTTTTCGCAGGTTCTTCCAAATAGTGCTTCAAATACGAAAACTTGTCAATCTTTGAAATCTCTTCGTTTTCGTAAACTGCACTTTTATAACTATCCCAGAACTCCTGCCAATCTTGGGGGCGGCCACTAAATTTTTTCAGTTCCAACTTCGGTAGCTTC